GTGTTACCTTATTTGATTATCTCAGTACATTTATCGTTATCAACATTCTTATCGAAATCTTTTCTATTGTACCATTCATTAATATGAGAATGTATAATTTTGATTTCCTAGTCTTGTCGATTGACCGTTTTCCTATACTATCAAAACATCAGAAAAGGAAAAGCACCAATGAACTGAACAATACTTTGTCATGAATAATTCATCAAATATATTTTTAATTGAACTCACCGGGAGAGCAAGTTCATCTTTCACAAAGACAAGTTTCGATTATCATCCATCCAATGAATAGAAACATCTTTTTGAATACCTCTCGTGCCTTATATGAGTCAAGTTTTTTCTTTTTCCTGATAGAATGAAGACTATTGTTCTAACAGGTCAATATTATCATCAAATCATATTGCTTCAATTCATGCGATGTGTGTTTATTTGATCAGTTTGTTTTATTCAATCAATTAAATTTTACTTTATTCTTTACTTTTCTACATATAATAAATGAAATTCATTTTTTATAATCAAGTAAGATCAGTGGATAATCCTGAGTTTTTTTATCTAAAGATCATTTTATTCATTAACTGTATCAATAAGATCTTTTTTATGATCTACTAAAAGAAAATCTATTTTAGGATATGATGATACATTTTCTTGAAAAACATAAATTTATATTTGTTAAAATGTTAAACTATTTCATAAATACGAAAGATCTTTTTTCTTCTATCTAAAGTGAAGATGCCGAACAAACTCACTTAATAAAATACTGATCATTTGCGCTTTGTCTTTGAATGTGTTGTCAAAAACATGTGGTAAAATATGTATGGTATCGTTTCATGCATACAAGAAACAAAGAATGTCAGATCTTTAACAAGGCTTTGGATGTGGATCATGGTCCCATATAGTTCTGATCCATTTTCCTTTGTGTTTATCCACATCCTCATCCACACCCTACAAGTCTACATCGACATATTTTCCACGGATGAATAGTGGGCCATCAATGGCAACGAATCAACCACACTTTAATCCTATCGAAAAAGCAAATTTGGCACAAAAAGGCGAATGTGTTAATTTGAAACAAAAAAAATATATATTAAAAGTTTTATTATTATTTTACCGTTTTCTAGCCATCATTAATAGAAAGTGCAAATATTCGTACAGTAATCAATGATCCAAATCATGGTCTTGTTCGAATCAATCAACCACCTGAACATACTGATGATAAAATAGCATTCACATTTAATAATTTATCACTCTCTAATCTTTGTTCAAACTTTTATTTCTTTTTTGAAACACAAAAAAATGTTTCATTGTTTCATAATTTTTAGGCACAAGAATTAAAAGATTTATTAAATAGCAATGAATAATTATGGAAATGGGTTGCACAATATTTAGTTATAAAGCGTGTTTCATTAGAACATAATTTTCATTCAATATAAACTCGTTTTCTTAATACACTTAATATTAATATTCTTTTCGATACAGTTTTAAGTAAAACACATCGAAACATAAAAGTAATACAAAATTTTTATTCTTTGAAATAAACACTATGGAATACTTCTGTATAGATTCTTGTATTAAGTGACAAACAAATCAATAACATTTCTGATCGTTCATTATTAAAAAAATCTTGAACATTGGCACGGAGTGATTACAAGCAGGAGAAATAAACGGATACTAGTCTCGATTTGTAGAAAAGAAAACATATTTTTAGCCATGATTCATAGACTAAAAGTTTTCAATATGCATCGAATTCAAAGACTATTTAAATAGGATTTGACTCGGTACGATGCTCGTGCGTGTTAAATTTATCCGATAAATAAAACTGTAAGCCGATGCCTTGAGAACAGCTTGATTATGCAATGAAAAGAAAATCATGCACTAACATCTCCAAAGATTAGTTTTCGAGGGCTTTCAAGGAAACTAATTCGGGTGCCTTCTTGTGATTTTAATGAACATTTTCTTTCTTCGAGACACTGCATAATATAGAGCATTTAACTTGTTGTAAGATATTAGACGAAAAATCACAAAAAAAAGAATTTGTCTGAGTAGAACTTCAGGTTAAAATTGATTACTACAGTTCATCTCTGAATAAGGTCTTATAGACTAAACATTTAGTAAAAAAATCATATATCGAGAACAAAAGCTTAATCATAGAAATGGATTCTTTTGTGAGCTATATGATAAATTTCCAGCGACTAGATTTATTTTATAAAATGGAGCTTTCGAATTTTGACTTGAAACTTTGTGTAGCAAGTAACCTACAATACATCGCCGGTTTTGTATTTCGTATTCGAATCTCGCAATAAGTTTTATTAAAATTCAGAATGCCGCGTGAAAAACTCTGGAAGCTAAAACTTACTTTATTCGCACACTTTTATTTTCAAAGAAGATACAGGATGAAAATAAATTGCAGATTCTAGACATTCTTACGCTACATTTTATAGTAAATTTTTTTTCTATTGATAAAATACATTTACGGAGTTAAGTAAGAATTACCTAAAATAGATCGTCTATTATCAGGCTTATCACGAAAAGACTTGATTTAAGGTTTCCCGCTCCCTCCAAAAAAGTCACTTTTGGTCGCAAGAGTCAAAATTGAGAAGAATTATGGGTAGATAGTCCGGGATCTGGCCTTTCAGAAAACATTAAAGGTTTTATCCGATACTCCATTCTTCCTAAAATACTTCGAAGTTTTCCGTCAGTTCCTATTCGAAAAACTAGCTGCTTTTACAAAATATCGAAAGTACTTTTCGCTTTTTCTCAGTTTACAATTTCTCAATCTCGCATTCCAAAGTTCTCTATCAAAGTTCATGTTAAATATTATTTTTGCTGCAAAGAGCAAGTCAGGATACCACAGAGTCCTTTTTTTTTAAATAAGCCTTTCTCTTTCCTATAAGAATACATCTCGATACAAAAACAACCATTTTTTCGTGTTATTTTTTCAATCACGGAGCTCGTGACTCCACTTTTACGCTTAAAAATAAGAATTTTGAAAAAGGGAGCTCGGTGGTGCTCTACAGCTTAATATGCCGTATTCCACAAAAAGTTAAAGATACAACATGGAAATGACTAGAAAAATTTGATTTGCCAAGGTGAGCAATTTTTCACCTTTGCTCCGTCAATATCTTACCCAGAAAACGTCATATAGGGCTGGAAATTTCATCATAGCCACTGCATTGTATCCCCAACGTAACCTAATAAAATCATACTAATTCAACGTTTCCGGGGCAAGAACAATTTGTTAGGAGGGGATGGAGGGGGGGGCTTAAGTTCTGTGTAGAAGCCACTGCAATTAAGGTTGACAAATGTGCAATGTTATTATTCCGAAATTTGAAGACTCGATTGTTTCCGAACATTGAGTTTAGCTAAATCTTTGTTTTTGAATTCGAAACAATGTACGAACGATTATATTTACGATGGAAAATATCACTCATCAACTCAAAAGGCTCATTGGCATATCTACTAATAACTCAGGATCTATTGATCGAAATCTAAGTCTTCGAAGATTTTAAAACATTACATTAGTAATAGTAGCTGTTTCTGCAAGCTATGTTTCGATATTCTATTGCATTAATATTCAAATTTTATTTATGCCTGAACTACAATCGTACCATTTTGAGAGGTTCTGTTTTTTTCAATGCTATTATCATTGAACTTGTTGATCTACAAATCCAGAGTTTCTATAGTTCGAAAGTGAATAATTTTCCCAATACATAGATGCACCAAAGATTCGACTACAAGCAGATAAAATCCACTATCATGAATTATTTATTCATGAGTTCTAAATTACGAGTTATCTGTACAGAATCTATAAAATAAGGGTGGGTGTGGGTGTTGAACAGATTAAGTACCCACATCCACACTCTCACATCCACACCCAAGACAATGAGGTTCATTGGATGATTCAGGGTGCTCGAACAAATGAATATTTCTCAGGATATTTTCGTGCATCTATTGATTAAGCTATGGAGAGAAGATACCAAGAGTCATCAGATGATCCAAGATCACATATGAAATGAATGTCTCTGATCATTGCTCTATTCAGCTAATCATTTCATTTAGAAAAGCTGTTAGCGCAATCCCTGCGGGATTGAAATGTGAAGCATGACGTAGTTGTTGCTACTAAGCATCTAGAAACTATTTCGTACCATCTATTTTGTGATATATTAGTCCACAACTCTTTATTTAGTGCTCTAGAACTAACTGCAATGAGGACGTGGTTCATCTGTTCCAAAGAGATCTTACTGACATACGGTCGGTAATCTTATATTAATAAAAGTCTGTCATGGTCAGTCAGTGTCTATAAAGACCACCTATCCCGACTGTCATAGCTATGAACCACATCTGTAAGAATCTGTCGCGGGAAAAACTATGCCTGTTATGGGCTGTGAGGATGTAAATACCTATCTGTAACGATCGGTAAAGCCGCAAGCACGTGTCTGTAACGGTCTGTGATTGACGTAGGTGTGAGTATCAGTGAGATTGCGGAGGAACAACCAAGTCAACACTCATGGTCACACCATAATCTCTGTTGTTCAGAATGTCAATCTAGGGCGGAAGAGCTGAAACTAGATTTTCTTTCGATTTTTTGTTCTTTAAAATTGATTGATTTTATATGGAAAAAAATTTTCAAAAGTAAAAAAGATCAAAAAAACTGTATTTCATGTGTTTTTCCTCCCGCTCCCTCTCCCTCCTCCAGGTATCGATAAATTGACATATGGACAATGTTTGAATTAAGCTGGTGAAACATAGTCAGCGATGAATGCTGATTATTGGAGTGATAAAATTAGGGTCAAATTTTTTCGGACACAAAAATACCAATTTGGCACACCTCGTTTTGTAATGGATAACGACAACAATGTGCGACTAGAATGTCCCAGTTTATGCTGATTTCATCTCATAACTAATGAAAATAATGTTTGAAATAGTATTTTATTTTTTGTTAATCAGCAAGAAAGAATTCAAATACAAAATTTAAGCAAAAGGTTTTTCTCGCATTAAGATAACCATTATGGCGAAGATTTATGACGAATATAACCACTGAAACTTCTTTGAATATGTATTGATTGAACTTGAAAATAATTATCAATAATATCTTTGAATTTTCGAATGGTTTCTTCATGCGAACAAACTATTTCGATTGCATCAATCGATGGTTTCTCATCTTTCATCGATCGTTTTTCACTTGAAATATTCGTGATAACAGCAATTAATTGTCTATTCCCATCGAATTCTTCAAATGTGACACACGTGACACAACTAGCAAGTGCGTCCAACTCTTCATAAACATTTTGACCACACCCAGTACATACAATCAGAAGATCCACTTCACTTTGGTCAATTAAATTTCGATGAAAAAACCCTTGTTGAAGAGGAATATAAGTAGCATGTAAATAATTATCGAGTATACTGGTAGTTATTTGCGATAAGGGACTATTAATATCACTTCGAATGCACAATTCTTTCCGGCTTTTACCTGTTGTAGTATTGAAACCTTGTTGTAAAAGTTTACCGAATTCGGCATCACGTCCATGGTCGAGAAATACCTGTTCATCAGCATATATCTCAGTAAAAATAAGTTTTGTTTTGGTTTCATCGGAATGTCGAAATACATAAGTATATACTTTGGGATGATCACGATGGACAATATCAGCCATACCAGACAAACATTCCAGGATCTTTGTTGCTGTTGACTCTGAGGTTGCATCGAATTCGACATGTAATAAAAAAGTCATGCCTTTCTTTTTTCTATCTGTTTCACACAATAACAAAAGGTTGAAATAGGACACGATAACATTGTATTGGTTTTATGAGTCATGACAACGACCTTTATCACAACATCCTTATATGGTAATATATGTGGTTATCATTCAAGAGAATCCAAAGGATTAAAGAAAAACATTTAAACCATGATAGAGGCAAAGAAATTCATTGATGAGGAAAAGGATTAGCTATTCATATAACGAATCCAATCTCATTTTGTTTTTAGTAATGACTCACTTAGAATCAGTGAAGGTATTATATTTTGATAATCATATAATAGGTTTAAAGGATTGGCTCGTCCCATTGAATAAATTGATCTTACTAGAAAAATAATATGATTACTATCAACTATATGACATATTCTGAATTAAATTTTATTTGTTTTGTTTTAAATTGTGAAGTTGAGTTATATTTCGATGTAAAAGAGTATCGAGGGACAGGATGTTTTTAAATAAATATTCATGGTTCAAAAAAAGGCAAACTTATCTTTTAGATTTTGAATGATTAGATGCTAAATTATGAATATGATTGAATTGAATGTGCTGCTTGAAGTTCTATATGATACTAAAATATTTTTTATTGTTCTAAATCAATATAAAAAGAAAAATCAAGTAACAATAAAACAAAAGAAATAATCTAATAAAAAAGAATATATTTGATTCCGTTGCAATTTTTCAGCAGCTAAAAGATCTGCGAATGCACTTTTCCAAAAAATGTTCAGTTACAAAATTTCTGAGAGATCATCAAAAGCCGATATGATCATTATTATACAAGCAGTACAATGATCAACAATACAGAAAACATCACTTGAAGTTACTGCCTTTTTTTTGTAACAACTAAAATAAATTCTCAAGGAAATAAAAGTTATGGATTTTATTATTTCAATAGATGGGTGAAAACAATTTACAAGTCTTTTGAACAGAATAATGCGTTATGATAATAAAATGTCAATTTTTGTGTACACAAACGAAATCATATACGTTATGCAACTGCCAAAAATTAAAACCTTGGTTATTTCTAAGTGAGTCATCCCTAAAAACAAGTTATTTGCATTTGTTATACCGCCAGCGAATCCGTTTCCTCCATTAATGAATTTCTTGCGTTTCTATCATAGTTTCCTTATTTTCCTTTAAACCGTCGCATTCCCTTAAACGGTGTCCACATCCATATAAGGTAATATAGACTATGATGACTCATAGGATTGTGAATAATACAAATCTAACAATCTTTTGCAGACAAATTTAAAGGATCAACTCTACATAATATTTACCATTTGATTCACCACGTTCTCATCAATAGAGTTGTTTATAATGATATAATTGTGCTATAAGATATAAAAATGAAACAAATTCATAGGTGTATTCTACGATTTCTATGAGACAGGTGATCAAGAATTTAGATAAACCTTGATTTAGTCATTGTACGATAGAACCTTACATAATAGATTGAAGAGACTGAAGCAATCGGAGAATGTTTCATCTAAGATCGAGGATAAAATCCACAGCTAGCAGGATTTTTCCCGTTTATTCAAGATTCAAAGGTGAATTTTATCGTTTAATTCATTGAATATAGACAACTATTCATTAATATTTTCAGGCATGGATAATCCTAGACACTCGTATGGGTGTGGGTGTGGGTGTGGCTTTAGAAAAAGATACTTACACCCACACCCACCCACATCCACACCAACACCCACACCCACCCACATCCACACCAACACCCACACCCACACCCACCCACATCCACACCAACACCCACACCCACACCCTCAAGAAGGGTGTGGTGTGAGATATGGTGGAGTGTGGGTGTCGGTGGTGTGACTGTGGGTGTGGGTGTTGGTGTGCTGTATCACGTCATCTGCATCCACATCTACTCTCACATCCACACCCATACCCTTTCCTCAGTAAAGAGAGCTACGAATCTTTTTTTATGATTATTCATATATGTATTGAACAGTAATTCTTGAACAAATATCAAAAGCAGCAATCTAAGATAATAATTTCATGTTTTCTTCCAATCAAACTAGTTTGAATCATATTATCCTTTGAAATTAGTCGAATCTATTTTCATATTTTGTTTATATTCATTTTTAAGTAATATGAAAAACAAACAATATTTTTTTATACGAATTGATTTCTCATGTTCATTATTCAGTGTTTTTGTGTACTCAAAAAGTGAGTACACTCTAGAATCGGTCAGTATGGCCGTCCGTCCGGCCGTTTACACGATAACTTTTGAAAGAAGAGTCCGGTTGCGATGAAATTTTCTACACAGTTTAGTCTCAACAATATCTCGGTCGAGTTCGAAGATGAGAAGGATTGGCCGAGCCCTGCCTGAGTTATTGAAAAATACCCAGTTTTTCCTATGGCTTCCTATAGGCAAATCGACCTATCTCCACATTCGTAAAACACTTTTCTTATCATAGTCAAATGAAACCTCAACTATTATACATCGTTCGATAGAGAATTTGACGAGCTACAAAATGGTATATAAAGCATTAAAAATTGAGCTCAAAATTTTGAGCCAAGGAAAGGGTTTTTTGAGAAAATAGCGATATTTTATAAAGGTTGGCGAAAGCAAATTGGGGTCGAGGAATCGGAATCTGAAGTCAGATTTTGAAAATCTTGAACTCCATTTTTTGGGTGAAAGGAAGGTTTTTTAAGAAAATAACGATATTCTATAAAGGTTGACGAAAGTAAATCGGGGTCGCTGAATCCGAATCTGAAGTCAGATTTCGAAAATTCTGAACAAAAGTTGTTGGGTTAAGGGATCGTTTCTTCAGTTTTTGAAGTACACATAACACTCGGATTTAAATCCGAGGTTTCCTCATTTGTTTTATAAACTAAATAGAAAAACAAAGAACCCAATAATAAGATCAATGTCCAAGTATAAATCGAAGTAATGGTATTACTTTAATCGATAATATATCAGAAAAAATAGCCTAAATTAATTATAAAATTAAACATTCATTTAAAAAATATATAAAATAATCGCTTCAATGGTTGGTTCACTCGTTACTGTCAAAACATTTCCCTTACGTCACATAAATATTGTAGCAGCAAGAACTAAATTAATACAATAAAGTAAGGTAAACATCATAAAAAAAACGAATTTAATTTTAATACGAGATAAGATTTCCAAAGAATCATAAGCAAGAATTCTCTGCCAAAGTGCTAATAATTGATTCGAAGCTAAATAACCCGAAAAAAGCTCTCATCATCCAGTTAAAAGTAATACGTAATCTAAAGAAATTTTTTTTTTTAAATGAACTATATTAATTAATGAATATAATTTACGATTGGACTTGAATCTCTTGTAAATGAAACCATAAAACAGGTGAAATTTGACGTAATAAAGATTCAAATGAAACACATAAACCAACGATTGCCTACAATAAAATGTTTTGTTAATATATTTCTTTTGAAATTTTTCTCATGTTCGATGAAGCTGATATATGATGTAAATTAAAAAAATATTTCCTATAAAATTGTTGAAAGATAAAATATAAATGAACTGGATCTTCAAAAACGAAATACACTAGTGCAACTGTAAAAAAAAGAAATAACCTTTTTTTTATTCATTTTAAAATTAAAAATAAAGGATATTTGTTTTATCAAATATTGAAAAAACCATAAAATGGAATAATTCCGTTTGGTGCATAAATAACTGAACATTCTTCTGCACCTATTTTCTTTTCTTATAAACGAACGCACTGGTTCACAATCACTTGTACTGGTTGTAAAACATGATTGAATATATATCACGAGAAAATGATCAAAAAACCTGTTTTTCTATAGTTAACAAAAAAAAGCTTGTTAGCGTAGCTCCTCCGGAGCTTAAATGTGGAACTCACGTATACTCTTGTATCTTTCTCAAGTAATGCATCATGTATAATATAAAACTCTTCGCCTAACCTGTAATTATATTCAACAACAGTTGGTGACAATATCCGTTCTTGAATATGCATTTGTAGATTAAGAACAGAATTGTTTTGCTTTTCGTTTGAGCGCGCCTACTTTTATTTATTATAGTTGCTATATACTCCCACTAAATTATTTTTTTTATTTTCTTGTATTTGAGATTTTTTATTTTCTTCTTTAAATAACATTTAAGTATCTCGAGAATAAGATGGTTGCAATGATATACGAAATATGCCATCGATTACGCTTAATACTCTCTGATGTATTTGAATGAAACCATAAATGATGATATGGTCTTTTTTTCGAATTGATTAAATGATTATTATTAAAATGAGAGTTATTATAGATTAATATATAATTAGTACTCACTGTTAATATTTGACATACAAGTATAGCTTTAAGAAAAGCCGACAACCACACTTTATAAAACATTGACAACTTTTCTATAGCTTATTAAACAATGCTGAAATCATTTAAACAGTGTTCATCAGCCGAACTTAGATATTTTTATGTCATGCAATGTTTTTTATAAATAAGTAAATTTGAAGTTTGTTATGAGCAGTTGCTAGAGTCTGTAATGGAGTGGGGAGAGGGAGGGGGGAGCCGTGAAACATCGACTTAAAACTTACACTCACTATTTTCTTCGAAAATATACGTAAGTTCGAATACGTATATGAATGTTCTTTAAAAAATGTCCTTGAGAAAATGTCCCCGGGTTTCTATCCTCGGAAAAAATGTCCTTCGAAATTTTGTCCTTTAAAAAATGTATTTCAGGTGAAATTTCTTCCCGAAAAATGTCCTTCGAAGAAAAGTCCCACATATAAAAAATGTCCTTTACTTTAAGTCAAGTCTAATGTTAAAATGAAATTGGATCAAGATGCAGATGATGCTATAGTATGAAGATGTTGGTAGTTATATCACTGTCATAGAGGAAAGATTGAGAGCAGAATGAAGAAATAAAGAACGAAAAAAGTTAATAAAGAACAATTGAATATACTAGTACTGGGTTCACGAACCGCCACGTTGCATACTTTTAAATGGCATCCCTTGATTCGATAATCAGTGATGAAACATCATTATCTTCATCATCTTCTTTTTTAACAACATCAACTTCATCATCTCCACCATCATTTTTAATATCCACGTCATCATCATTATTTTCATCATCTTCACCATCATCATCAACAACATCATCTTCGTCACCACCAACTTCGAAACCAGTATCATCATCATTTTTATCACCTAAACCATCCATCGTGAAAACAACATCGAATAAACGTAAAACAATGTTATACATTAAAGGATATCAATATCAGTTGAAAGATTATAATGAAAATAAAACGATTAAATTTTGGCGTTGTGCAAAACGAGATTGTGGTGTTCTTTTACATACAAATCTCAATGATGAATTTATACGTTATTCTGGAAAAAATATTAATCATAAACATCTTCCAAATCCTGCTGCATTAGAAATATGTGATCTTAAAGAAAAAATGCGACAAAGAGCTGAAACAGAATTAGTACCATTACAAGAAATTGCTGAACAGGAAGTTCGAAATGGTTTATTAACAGGTGATGCACAAGCTAATTTACCAAATATTTTTGAAATTGGTATAGTATAAAGACGTATGTGTGTGATAAATGTACTTAATGTTCTTTTTTCCTCTTTTTAGGTCGTGGTTTAAGTCATGTTCGGCAAAAAAATCTTCCTTCGATACCAAATTCATCATCTTTTGTCATACCCGATAAGTACACAAGAGATTATCTTGATCATGATCATTTATTATTACATGATAGTACAGATCCACATTTTCAATTTGATTCATCAGATGATATACAACCATCAGGAAGAATTTTAATTTGGTCATCAAATATTCAACTTCATTTATTATTTAACAGTGGACGATTACATATGGATGGTACATTTTCCACTTCACCTCCACATTTTGCTCAAGTTTTTATTATACAAACAATACATCATGAATCTTGTAAGCTATATTTACGATACAAAACTACTTGGAAATAAAATTACTCATACTTACAAAATTATCTTTTATTTACGATAGGTGTGCCGTCGTTTACGCACTTCTTCCTGATCGAAAAATATCAAGTTATTTATACTTATTCAACGTCTTATTTCATCACGCAAAAAGATTTAATAAAACATTAGATCCTGTGAATATAATGACAGATTTTGAACCAGGTCTTACAAAGGCAATTTCAATACAGGTACAATTTTAGTCGAAAATAACTATACTTTTGCTAATACAACTTTTTCTATTTTTTTAAATTGCAGTTCCCGGAGAAAACCATCCAAAAGGGATGTTTTTTCATTTCTCTGAATCAGTTTATAGACATGTTCAATCACAAGATTTATCATCTAGTTATCTGAATAATATTATGGTTCGAAATGTTATTAAACAAGCAATGGCATTAGCATTAGTACCTCCATCACATGTTCAAGTATTATTTAATGAACTTGGTCAAGAATTAAATGATGATGAACGTGAAGAAATTTCGGGTTTATTACAATATTTCAAGAACCATTGGATGCGTCAAGTATCGATATGGAATGTTTATGAAATACCTGATCGAACAAATAATTAAAGTGAAGGTTTTTTGAAAGCAAATAGTATTTTCTATTAATTATATTGCGATATTTTTAGGCTACAACAACAGATTTAAAAGACGTCTACAGAAAACTCACCCGAATATTTGACATTTCATAGATTCAATCCGAGAAGAAGTTCATACTATTCATGATTTAATTCAATAAATTAACAGTGGGATGCCGCCTCGAACAAAAAGATCTCAAACAAGGACATCTGAACGACGCATCAAAGAACTTTATGATCGATTTAATCAAAACAAAATTACAGTACAAGAACTTTTACGTGGTCTTTCTTTTTATGTTGCAAATAAAAAATAAAATAAAAGTTAATTTATTATAATAAATCAAACACATAAGTGTAACCTTATCTTTAGTTTTGTTAATGTTTTACTAAAAAGACATTTTAAAAATGAAGGACATTTTTTTAAGGAACTTTTCTGAAGAGGACCTTTTTTAAAGGACATTTATAGTAAGGGACATTTATAGTAAAAGACATTTATTCAAGGACAGAAACCCGAGGACATTTTCTCAAGGACATTTTTTAAAGGACATTCACGGCTGTTACCGTTATTTATTTCTGTTGGTACATTTTGTTCATCTATTCTAAGAGTAGAAATGATCAACAACATGAAAATAATGTTTAATCTAAACAAGTGAAACAATGTTTAGAAGAATAAACTGACATATTGCTTACTTACAGTAATACGATTCTTATTGTTTTGACTAGACAGATTTTGCTTTGCTTTTGGAAGAAAGCAAAAAAAGTACGATTAAAACAGTGAGTAATCCTTGGAAATTTGAAAAAATGTTTCAAGTACAACGTGATGACCTATGGTTCACCTTTAGTAATACGAGTGTAATTGGTTTGCACCGGCAGCTTTCGTTTTTCTGTTTGAAGATAATATAAAAGAAAAAAAATACGATTAAAACGTTGAATAATCGATGAAACGTAAAAAAAATGTCTCAAGCATAACAAGATAAGCTAAGGGTTTCCTCAATTCATACGAATATTCTTCATTTTGCTCGATGGATTTTTTTCATCTATTCAGAGTGTAGAAACAATTAACAACATGAAAATAATGCATAATCTGAATAAGTGAACAAAACCATCTTAGGTATACTGAGGTGGCCTACTCCTTACCTGCGGTAATACGAGTTTTCTTAATGTGTGTCGATAGATTTCTTTTGTTCTGTTAGAAGCAAATGAAAGAAAAAAAAGACGATTAAAATAATACAGGATATATGAAAGGTAGAAAAAAAAACGTCCCAGACAATAAAATGGCCTACAGACATTGAGCTATATGTGTGCACTTGTTATATGTCTGTGATATTTTTTATACCCGAGCGAAGAAGAGAAAATAAAGAAAATGATAATGGTGTTGCACAGTGAGAAAAAGTAGTCTCCTTGGAAGGATTAAGCGATTCGTCGTTGGCCCGCAGTGTGGTGAATACTTTTTCGATTTGGATGAGTTGTTTTCAGCTGCATAATGGAGAGCGGTAAAGAAGAGAGGAGAGAAGAAGGATTGTATAGAGAAAAAGTATGCATATGTTAAATATATGTATTTTTTTTCTCGCGTCACGCTCTGACGAACGAAGAAGTATATTATACTGAAGTGATATATAAGCAGGATTTATCTGCAGTATCAGCGCACAACATCGTTCATACACCAACTTGGTTTCTTATCTGGTAGTATCCAAATCCTTTTAACTCGTTGTAATAGAAAGGTATGTGATTTTGAATATTCAGCACGCTGTTTTTTGTCAGCCTGAATAGAAAAGCTATACACTCGAGACTCAACGTGTAAAACAAATCTCCAAAGACCAATTATAACATTATTCAAATATAAGATGATCAGATTTCAATTAGTAGAGGAATGGTGAGGTTAGAGTCTGAGGCGAGCACATAGTAGTGTTCGAATTCTTTCGGAAAAAGAATTAGATTAGCAGGGATTTTTTTATCAATGCAGTAGAATATTTAGCATTTATTAGGCATGCACTAAACTCAAACCGTTTGGGTTTGGTGAGTTTGGGTATTGAGTTTGGGTTTGGGTTTGGATTCTGTGCATGTTAAATTTATATACAGTATTGAAGGAGGCAGTATCCTAAAGTACATCCTGATGTGTATAATTATATGACTGTGACTGATATATCACATGTAAATGTAATTGGGACTAATTCCTTTCCGGAAGAAGAATGGTCGCAGATATTTTTGGAATAACTCAAGTCCAGAAAGAACTAGGGAGCTCTAGTTTTCACCATTCAAAAGAGTAGACTCTTGGTCATCGAAGCATATTGAAACTTGATTGGTCACCTATTGACCAATCAGGTGAGTTCTTAGTAGAGAGTTTCACAAAAGGGTTTCTGACGCTATTTTTCTGTCGGTTTAGATTTCCAATAAGACTATCTGATAGGTAAAAGTCTACCATTTCAATCTACATAAGGCCGATTGTCCTAGCTAGTTCTCTTCGAAAGTCACAAGACTTCTCCTGAGACCCTGGATTTCAGCGAAATGACATGTCATCTCTGTGAGAACCAGCTAACAAGGGGTTATTCGTCATGCTGAGTCGAATGGTGGTATTTATTTTTCAGGTTCAGACTAATCTTACACTGTTATATCAATAATTCTGGAATTCCAAAATGAGCTTCTAAACTCTAAAAAGAAAGCATATTCCTGGAAACTCATTAAGGGCTTCTGATTTTGTCACTATCGGAAACTTTTTGAGAGTTTATGAGCATGAGCTTTCGCGGTTTCGGAAACCCGCACATAGACAATTAAATAGCTTACAGTACGTTTATCCTGGAAACGGATAAATGGTTTCCGAACTTTTGAAAAGCTCATAAGTGGTACTCATGATGAGGATGCTTGGACGAACAGAAGAAGTTCCTAAACCTTGGAAATTGCACTAGATTTGTACAAGATATATAGCCTATCTTCTTATTCCTATCCTTTACACCTCATCTCTATATCTAACTTCGTCATTCAGATCGTTAACCCCTCAATCCTATATCTAATTCAGGTATAACCCACCTAATCCGTCGTCGCTATCCTGAATCTGTTATATCTGAATCCAACCCTCTTATTTCTATATCTCACCCTCCTATTTTGCTGTTCAACCCTTTATGTGTATACTAACCCGTTTTGCCCACATGAAACTCCTTATATCTGCCCTCAGTCTCTGATCACTCTTCTTCTCCCATTATAATCAAATCGAAGCCGTATCTCTATGTTTCATCCATCGTGTTCTTGAGTTACTGCTTCTATGTATCCCGTTGACACATAAGTTCTGCACATTTGGATCAGTAGAATTATATTGCCAATATAAAACTACATTTTAAGAAAAGTAATTATATATTCTGATAGCGCTCGCAATTCTCTATCACCCTGTGTATTTAGATGTTGACTTGCATTTATTTGCTGAAAAAATTTCAAATACAGTAAAGACACCCTCACCCTCAGATCCCCACGAACTCCATTTTTGTTCCTTTCTTATGTGTTTTAAAAATTTTACCTATACAGTAACCCATTTTTTAGAAAAGTGATTATACATTCTGAAAGCCCTTGAAATGTTCTATCATCGTGTATATTCAGGTCTTGGCTTGAACTTATTTGCCGACAAATATTTCAAACATTGTTAATGCGAGTGAAGGTGTCTTCACTGTGCTCGAAATATTTTTCAGCAAATAAATGCAAGTCAACACCTAAATACACAAGGTGTTAGAGAATTGCGAGCGCTATCAGAATATATAATTACTTTTCTTAAAATGTAGTTTTATATTGGCAATATAATTCTACTGATCCAAATGTGCAGAACTTATGTGTCAACGGGATATATGTAACTCCTCTCTTGGGTCAAATATGTCGGGCAAGGAGTGGAGGTTAGCTACGTAAAGGCAAGTGGTATGATACTTGGAAAAGCTGAGACGATTTATCGTTTTAAATAAATATTGACGTGAAAACAGAATATCTGACAGTTAAAAGAATTATAATACAGTACTCCACAAAAGTCTTCGGTCTCCCTGAATCTTAATGTGCCGATATATGCGTCACAGATCGCTGCTCTTCCTCTTTCCTCTTTCTCTCTCTCTGTTTCTCTGTCCTATATAAGCTTGTATTGAATGTGCAATAGACACATTCTGGAGATGTAAAGTAGCTAATAAACATCATTACCGAAGGTAGCGGTGAGCTATTCCTTCCTGTCTGTCATCACCAGCTTCCTTTCATTTATCGTTACACTTAGGTTTCCATACGATTCCGTGGGTTGAAAGGTTGAAGAAATATCTTTGTTGATGCACCTTGATCATCGGCACAAACTGCAGTCCAAACACATTTATATTGCATGAGATCTACGTATATAGACACCGATCAGTTATCGCCGACAATAAGAAAATCTGATCTGGGTAAATTTTATATTGTTACGACAAAGACACACATATAAAATTGAATATTTTCATCCAGAAAAGAAGCTCACAAGATACTCTCTTCATGATGAAACTTTCAAGTAATTCGCTATTGTATTAGGACGATTAAGAGCCTTGTTCGCAATCACATGGACAGATGTGCCATTTTTTCACCGTTACAATATAAACGATTGAAACTTGCACGATACAAGCATGGCAGCTAGGAAGTGTCTGGAAAAATGAGACTTCGAAAATATTATATTTTCGAACAGTTAAGTTACCCAGAATAGTAATATAAGAGTTCTGGAAAAGTGAGTTCATAAGTAAAATGATTGGCATTTTGTTAGAACTTAACAAAACCAACGGATATTTTGTGTTCCTAAAGGCTCAGTAGCTAGCTACACGTTGATGAGCAAAATCGCGAAAAACTCAGTAGTCTCTGTCAAAGATACAAGTGGCAAAATCAAACGGAGGAAATTTTACATCTCATGACATCCAACGACGTTCGGACTGCAGTCTGTGCTGACGATCAGCGTGCACCAAGAAATGTATTTCTGCAAAGTTTCAGCCCAAGGAACCATTATAGGACCCGAGATCC